AGCTCATTTGGAAGAGCGTTGCACCGGTATCACAGAGGTCATAGGTTAAAATCCCGTACATGCCTGAATTTTTTTCACGCTCTATTACCACTACTGCCTAAGTACTGTTCATTACTGCGAAGATCGCTTTCAAATTTATTTCTTAAACCGCAGTTCACATGTATGATTTTCAAATATTTACAGTAAAAAAAAAAGGACATGAATAAACTAGTAAAAAATTGAATTGTGACAAAGACATACGGATAGGCCAAAAGAAGGCCTACCTTATCCTAATCGTTATATGTTATAAACATACCTTGGATCCACGATAGGTGCTGTTTGGAAATGACACCAGATCACTCGGGTATTCAAAATGTGTAGCGTCATTCATCTCGCATTTGGTGATCGGTGGAGAATCACTGGATACTAGTATATTATAGCTGACACAAGTGGGCACCATGAAGCACACTGCTTCACAGATGTCCTTTGCGACGATGTCAATTTCTTTTATCGTGTGGTTAAGCAGCCGTTTCCCTCTGAATGCAAGGGTAGCACTGAAATCCACTTGAGGACAGTGGTCTGTAGAAAAGAACGATGAATAATAATTTTTCCATGAAGATGAACGAGAAAGGAGATCGAAAAAATATCATACCATTGGTTTCAAGGGAATGCTCTATTTGACAAAGACACCAGATTTAGTGGTAGAGGTAAATAATAGGGAAGGGATGGAGGAAGAGAAATTGGTAAATGAAACTGCAATCAACGTAATAAAAAGAGTACACGAATTTAAATCAACGAAAAAAGCTTAACATGACGTTTCGATTGCATCCTGTTATCATTGTCAATATTGAAAGGGATTGGCATAACTGATTTACTCTATGTAAATATGTACAGAAATTTTAAGGTACAAAAATAATTACTTTAATGAGAACAAAGATTGAAAGTGTGTTTTGTATTCATGCAAATAATTTCGCCCGAATGGAGTCTGGGTGAGTGTTATAAATAACCTGAAAGACTTCTTCTGTCGGTAAGAACAAAGTCGATAAATGAGAATTTTGTAGATTGAAAACAAGGCCCACTGTTGTTTTGTAATCATGATTCAACTCATTTTTCTGTCTTGAGCCTTAGCGCCAACGCACTGTGTCGATTCTTCAATTTATTTTCATTCATTCATGAAGTCGGCTTTTCTTGTCACTGAAGGGCTAATGTGTTTGTATGATAAACAATATAATGCATGGTTGCTTGTAGATATGGGAGAGAAACTCCGTATCTACACGCACCCATGTATTATTCTCTATTTATTAATATTGTACATGAAAAAATTACGCAATTCTGATCGGCTGAAAACGAGTGCATTCTCATGTAACACGAGTGCAAAGTTATAACACGAGTTCAAAGTTGTAACACGAGTGCAAGTTACAAATAACATGCGCATGCTTTCCAAATTTCGTCCGTCTTGACTCTGTGTTTTAACAAGTAATGACGTGATTTCTCTTGCAATTTGGTGTCATAAGCACTTGTAAATTTTTCGAAAACTACAAATTGTTCTTGCCCTAGGGCTGGTGCAGGGGGTACGTTTCTACAGAAACTGTGGTGCTACGTCGGTGGGAGAGTATAGCAGGTAATTTAGCATTAACAACTGAGTTGAAAACGTAAATTGGCCACCGTAAAGGGTAAAAAAGCTGACGTTTCGAGCGTTAGCCCTTCGTCAGACTGTGTTGTATGTACCACTATGCAGTGTGTTTTTTTGGAAGTGGCTGCACGTGTAACCTGTATGGTCGGTTTGGTCACAATAACCACATTCTGTTGTTTACCCAGGAGAGGCTTAAAGTTTCGTTTATGATTTTTCTGTTTTGTCCCCTTTTCAAATAAATATCGAAATTCATCCCATTGAAAAAGTTTATTGATGCGTTTAGGGTAATAAATTCATTGTTTTGTTATGTTTTCTTTTGGTTTTGTTTTGTTTTTATTTTCTGAGACTTTAACAAGCAGGATTGCAACAGACGTTGCCTTGAAAGTGTTTTGTCCAATTTTAAATCCTCACGCATGTTCTTATAACGTCGCCTTTTCTATCTGATGAGTTATGCGATGATCTGAGTTCGTGTTTTCATCCACTTTGAAGAAGTTACCAAACTTTTGACATGGGGCTGATATCAATAAAGGCAACATGTACTATTCATAAGTAATTGTTAGGTGATATTTCAGTTCTGTACCCGTCAAGAGGAAAGATACAAAACTCAAAGAATTGGCGCTCAAAACACGTGTCGAGACGAGCAATTTAGGATCTAAGATCTGGGATGGAGATCGGAGAAAAATTTTGTGTGCAGCTTTCATGAAAGGCCCAGTGCTTTTCCAAGTTCATTATGCCAGTGTCGAATACAGATAATGATAATAGAAAGATGAAACAGAACTAAATTCGGTTCTTTATTTCTGGATGATTGTGTTCCTTTAGAATTCCAGTCTCTGGATAACTGGAGCACATTTCGTTGTTTTAATCGAAAATAATTCCCTACCCGTGAATTTGAAGCCATAAAACGTTTAAATTTCTCTCAGAAGGAGCTATCTCTCAATTTAGATTTGGGTGTATTCGACGGAAGTTCACGCGGTAAAAAGGTTCTGTCGACATTTCTACTGTTTCTACAATTCTACATATTTGCTTCTGATTCTGATCGAAAGTAATTTTGAAAACGACAGTAAAAGGACTGATTAGACTTTCGCGGGAGGTTTTTGAAATTTTCTACTTATTTATTTCGTTGTGTAAATATGCTGAGAGAAAAATGGATGATTAAGCTTCACTTTAGCTCACTAAATTCATAGTCATATTCATGACAATAACGGCACATACGGAATTTTTTCTTCAGCGTCAAAGCATACTAACAGATTAAAGAGAGTGCAGCATGAATTTGTGCCGAAGTTACAGCCTAAATTTCATGATCCTTTCATCCCAACCGCCTGCTAAAAACAGTTTGCGTGTGGTAGATCCCACCTGTCTTTAAAGATTCACATCTCTTCATAATAGCTTTATAAACATTTTTACTCCCCCATAAGGGGGGTAGAAAATTTTGAAAAATTGGGAATTTTTGTAATAGTCACAATAGAACATTCAAGATGAATTACTTTCGTTTATTCCCGCTTCAAACGCATTATAAATTAGCAGTTTTTAAAACTTTCCTTGAAATTAATCAGAAAATCTACCCACCTTCTTCGCATTTCACAACACACATCAGAGAGCACAGCATAGTGAAGGTACCAAGAGACACGATGCACGACATGTTGCAAAACTGCTCCTGCCAAATTACCAAAATGTAAAATCGTACACTGCGTTACTCGCATGCAAGACGCTTCTCGCCTGGAGCTACTGAAGACTCAGTGTGATATACCACGGAGACAATTGACGTTGATGAAAGATGATAATAAGAATAATGATCTATTTCTATCTACATAAATTAACTTTAGGCATTACATTAAGTAATTGTTATGGTAGACGTCAGACACCTTATGGAGATATTCTTTCAACGCTACCGTTTTGTTTTGCATTTTAAATGAAGTTCATTCTCTAATAAGTTATTTTATGAACCCGTTTCTTTGAATGAAGCTTCTAGGAAATTGCCAAAGGAATAAAATAATAAATAAGTTACAACGTATCGTTCTGGATACTTGCAACGTGTCAACGTGAGAAATTTGACATACGCAGAAATTTCGTTAGCTTTATTCGCAAAATTATTCTCGGATGGTGAGACCCCGTGTAAACATTTCGCTATTCATTGAAGACAGAGGCAAGAATAAAGCTACTAAGAATAACCAAGGAATAAAATAAAGTTTTTAAATTCGATGAAAAAAAACGCTTTCAATTGATTGATACCAGTAATAGTTCGAAGAATTGTGCTAGATTTTCCAAAGACGAAAACTATTTTCATCGTGTTGTCAAAGAGACATTCTTATCGTGTTGAAGAGAGGAGAAGGAATGAACGGTCGGAAATTTAACCAAGCTGTGTTCGAGAGGAATGATGGGAAAAAAAAAAACAGGAAATCATATACGAACGCATATGAATTTTGGGAGGACTCTGACGCGTTATAGCTTACGAATATTCGTCTTTCATTTTTCTTTTTTTTCTTTTTTCTATCGAAACAGTCAATGAAAATGCTCCAGTGTCTTTCTTGAAAATGCTGTGAAATACTGTGTTTTTCTTGGCCCAAACATCGACCGACGTGAAAACACTTCAATTGCTTCCAGCAGAATATCGACATCATTTTTAATTATTTTCAGTGTTATTTTTTTAATGTCATCATAAACACTTCTGTCTGAGAAGCAAAGACTAAATTTGTGCACCTCTTGCGCAATAAACTTTCTAGCAATACCCACTAAATTTTCAAAAATAAATTACGGAAACACATCACAAATATTTCAAAGCATCATTTGCCTGAATGACAGATAAACTCTACAATATATGCCGATGTAGCCTTTTAATAATTAATGACAGCAACTCGCCGGTTCTATAATGCCAGGGAAGTATATTGAACAAACCTTTTTAGCCGCAGGAAAAGTAATCATGGGTGAAGTGAAAATAATATTTAAAAAATAATGAGGAAAGATGGGGAAAAAAACCTTCTTTATTCATTCTTATTTTTTTTCTTTTTGGCGGAAAGTTTCGTTGTAAACCACAATTCGATGCACGTGACCAAATCAGTGAGGATTCGAAGCTAAGTGCACGTACTCCTTTTTTACCTTTTAGCTTTGAGCTGTCAGTTTGAATATAAGAGGTCCAAGCTTTGCCCTTGGACTCCATTGAGAAATGTTATGAGAGAGTACGACCAGCGGATGTCTGGAAACTTCGAATGATTCGAAATACAAATTTGAACAAACCAAACACTTAAGTTATTTAGGCCTTTTGAAACCACGGAAAAGATATTAACATACTGATCAAATTACAGCTTCCGTTTCACCTGTTGAATAAATACGTGCTCTCTTTAAACGGTTCTTGGATTAATTTTTAAAATATTCAGTAGTTTGCGAAGTCGAATTATGCCGAAAAGAATATCTGGTGTTCTTCCTACAGAATATCAATGCTCTGCTCATTGGATTGCAGATATCATTCTGACTTCGCACGGTGAACTCCGCCTATATCTGACGCCTAATATGGGGCGTTTGCTTCGAAAGCCATACAGGAACTATTTTTATGTACTTCTGATGGTAATCTCTGTAACAGATGCCTCAAACGGTATGTAAAATATGAGAGAATTCTTTGGCAAGTGCTTACGAGTTACGATGTTTTTTTACTTGTACTTAGTTATCTAAATATTGATTTTTTTTCTTTCTTCCCCCAAATTCCATAAACAAAAGTCGTCGATGTGCGTGGAAAAATTCTCAGCCACAATAGAGGACTGGCTTATGCCAAGTTCAAAGCTCACAAATTTTCCTACCTAAACATCACTGGCATTGGTTCAAGTTATGTTCCCGATGGCATTGAGTGTGGACTTGCTTGTGTCAGCATACCTTCATGCTTCTCCTTTAACCTGGCTGCATTTCATGACATCATTGGTAAACTGCTGTGTGAATTACTTCCATCAGACATGTACAACAACTCGGACAAGTTTGCCGCCAGTCACAGTCACCATCACTTCAGTGTCACAGTAAGTTAAAAATCTCAACGTAGTTTACAATTTCAACAACATTTAAATTAGGAAAAATGGGACAGGAAACACGAAAAGGGAGTATCTGAGTTCTATTTCCACAGAGTTCTTGGAGACATATCATTTAATAGAAGCGCTGTTCCTATTCCGGCTGTAAAATGTTTCACGAAATGACTTGAGCACCCATCAATTTACCCATAGAGGATTTATTGAATCTTTCTGAAAATAAGCTTGCGAAGAGGTACAGTTAATTCGAGTAGAGGAACGGATTGTGATGAATAACTGAATAAGCCTCTAAGCTATCAGCCTTGACACATCTTAAATCAAGTTTTGAATTAATTTTCTCCTAGCGAAATTAAGTTGTAGTTCTCACGTGACTGTCAGGTCACATTTCTGTATGACTCAAAAATCTGGGTTACTGGTATATTAGTTATTTCATTCCAAAAATAATAGATTTAATATGAGCCACACACAAAAAAAAGACGCCAAAAAAAAAGGAGTTTAAACTTCAATCTTCCTTTTCCCTAAGTTGTGATCGGAAGGTGTGCCGTGTTTCGTTTGTCTCTTTAGTCTCCTTGCATCAGTTGGCCTTGTCAAAATACAGGAACTTGTACCCCGCAGTACGAGGAAAACAGCTACGTGTGTCTTTGTGCGAAAGGATACAAAGGGAAACACTGTGAAATCGGTACGAAATTAAACCGTTAATTAAACTGGCTTAGAGAACTCTTCACCTGTAAGGTTTCCTGCCAACAGTTTAATTAATACTTCCGTTTTCATTATCTTGAAAAGGTAGCAATTTGTTAATTATCTGAGGACGAATCTGAAACCTCTCTCTGCAAACAAGTGCCGATAAAATTGTAATGCTTGGAAGATACTATTTCATTGTTTTTGTTCGTTTTTTTGTTTGTTCGTTTGTATTTCGTTTTATATTTTTTGCTGCATTACTAATAAATTGGGCGCATTTTAGGTATATTTTGAACAATTTTTCGCTAAAGCCCTGGGCTTTTCAAGTATTTCGTTAGCTGAAACTTATCAAGGAAATATTTATTCTTTTCTCTAATTTATAGTTTTCTCTTAGTGTTCATTAAGTTGTCAAGAGTGTATTTTTGTCATTCATTTCTAGAGATTGATGAATGCTCTCAGGGCTCGCACACTTGCGATGTCAATGCTTATTGTAACAACACTGTGGGATCCTACAGATGCACTTGTAAGCCACACTATTATGGAAACGGAGAAATCTGTAAACCTTTTGGTAAGCTTTGAATTATAAACTTATGCATTGCGATAGAGAGGTAAATTCGTTCGCTCAACTCACTTAATTTCTTCTTGTGAGATACAAAATAGTTCGGAGAATTTGCCAATATCCTTGATGATAAGAGATGCATCACTTACGAGAAAGGAAGACAGGAAGATAGAAAAAAACGGAACGACTTATTTTGAATCAGTTGCGGATCGAGGTTCTAAAATGTGCTGCCTAATTTACTTAATTCCTTGGTAGGCGCATCAAATCTGAGAGAGAAAAAAGTACACTAGAGAATTTCTCTACACTTTGTCAAAGAACAGAGATAAAGCAACCAAACAAACGCGTTCATGTGTGGGCTGTTTTGTTTTCACATCTTAAAGTGGATGTTGTTATCACATCTCCAAAAATTTGGTGAATTGTTCCTTTTCGCACTTTTTCACTGCATAGTTTCAAGTCACACCCACTTAGCTAGCCTTCTCTAAGTTGAGGTGATTCCTCAGAAACAAAAAGTTATCGAACAATTTTTTTAAACTTTCCTTAAATTTTCTTTACCAATGTTTGTTTTGTCTGTTTTGGTCACCGTGCTAGTTTAGGTGATATGATGGGCCAAACTTACCCCATTTATGCCTGTACCGGCACCAATTACGCGCGTTTTTTCATCCCTTCACAGTGTATTTTGCGGTAGCTGAGAGCAAGGGATTTTAAAGTAACACTTGAAACAAACATGATAGGGAGAAAGTATCGCGAGTATGAAATAATTTGATGTATTGATGTATACTTTGTGGAAAAATCACGCAATTTTTAACGACATTGACTTAAAACGTTCCTCGAGTCGTTGCTCTCGAGGTCATAATTTGCATCCCCGAGTAACGGGCTTCATGCAAGCTTTTAGCTACATCTTTTTTTTCCCTTCGACGATTTTTAAAATTTCTTCAATTTAAAGGGGATAATTTGTTCTCCAAAATTATGCAATGCAAAATATAGGTGACCGTGCTCGTTCAAGAGCTAAAGACCATCGTACTTCTTTACCCGGTCAATGGATTGAAAAACGATACCGTGTTCTCGGAATGCGCTCACGCGCGCGCTCATTCCCCTGATTACTCGATTTTTCTACACAATACAGGATGCGCGGTACAAAATTGAGGAATTACCTTAAGGTAAAAGGAAAGTTGTCATCCAGCATTACGACTATCTTATAGCCATCGATTTCCATTGACGTAAGTGATAAACTGAAGATCCTAATTATTTTTCACTGTCGAATAGCTCTGAATGCATCCGCCATTCTCAGGAATCTTGACTACAACAAGTACCTGGGAATATTGAGGTCTTATTTGAGTCCAGTTCTCATGGATTTAGACCACAGTGTATTCGTGAGATGCTGGCATGCCAAGACAGACGGATGGGCGGCAGCGACATTTCACAACAACTGCGATGGAAAGGGACCCACAGTGACAATCATCCAGGTTAACTCTCACATATTTGGTGGATATACTAATGTACCGTGGAGTGGTAAGTATTGAAAGTAAATTTAAATATTTCCTCATAAGGATGAGCAGTAGGTCAGTTGTTTCCACGACGACTGCCAGAGCAAATAAAGATAAATTCATACCTGCAAGATAAAATAACCAAGAACGTTTCAAACACTGGTCAATTTTAGATTTACAAATATTTTATTTGATTATTTGATTTTCCTGCTATCTACAGACAAATTTTTATAATTCTCTTTTCTCTTTAACCATTAAATCAACTCTTTAGACAATCTTTTCCAACTACAGCGAAAATGAACATCAAACACTGAGATTCGGCTAATATGAGCGGGTGATGATGTAGAATTTCACTTGTATCATTTCGGATTTACTGTTTATCCAGTCGCATGAGTAGAGCTTTAAAAAGCTTTCGTGAACCTTTTCCCTTAATCCTCATGACAAATTTTAATGCTGTTTTTATCGACTCAAATTCAATATTTATGGTTTACCAACAGGGAACCCGTGCCGTTACGTTCCAGGCAATAAGTCCTTTATCTACTCGCTTCACAATATCAATGGATATTCACCGGTGAAACTCACTCAAAGTGGTTATTCCAATGTTATCATGTGGGACTGTTCCAATTCTGGACCCTCGTTTGGAGGAGGAGATATCAGATTAGCCAGCGACGCCGTCAACAACAATGAGTCATACACCCATTGTGGACACACGTACACCGCTCCCCCTGGATACACGCATGCCGACTGCCCATTTTTTGCCGGTAGTTTTCGGTTCTCTCCTACCAACATCGAAGTATTCTATGAAAAGCTACCTTAAAAATTTTGTCACTGCAATTGCCTTCAGGATATGCATCAGCAGACAACTAAGAAAACTGATGCACTCATCTTCCTTTGCACTCATGCACAGTTTTTTTTTTTATAACTGCAATACACTTTTAGATTATTTTGTAAGTTGTCAAGTTATAAATAGGGACCTTTAGCAAACCACGATGGCGACGGCAACGAGAACGTGGCAAAACAAAAGATCTAATGAGCAGAACAGTAGCTCAGGACGTGCGTTCTAAAACTATGTACATTTCCTAGCAGACCACTGCAAAATAAAAACGTGAAATCATCAAACTTTGCGTGGTCCGAGAAAGGAAACCCCGACGGCAGATTATTTAAGTTTCTATTTGGAACTCAACGCCGCTCTCATACGTTATGCTGAGGTTCACTTGCGGCGCCATAAGAGAAGGTAAGCACATCCAGTCATTTGCGAAATTCCAACTGAAAATATGAATTCATTTTTATATCGATGTCTTTCTTGGCGTTGCTGTCCTAACTGCTAAAGGTCCCTAATCATAACTGGACGACAGTGTGAATCTGCATTTCTACGGAATACAGTATGAATACATCACATGTTGTAACTGAAGTTTTCTGAACTCGTGTTTACTCACTTTAATTAATATGCTTTTTGTGTTAAAGTAAGGTATCGACCAAAATAAAAGAACTCGTGAGAAAAATCGTTTGGTTCATTACGCGCTTCGATAAATATTTAATTATTCGTATTGGTCCGACTGTCTCATAAAAAAAGTAGCCTGCTCTGTGCGTTAAATGGGTTAACAAAAATGTGCGATAGTAGCAGCAATTTGTTCATAGAGACGCATACCAAGCAACCTGGATGCATTTATTATCTCATTAGGATGTTCGTGGGCTAGGTACAACCATTCATTCTTTGCGCCATGCTTTTTGATAAGAATATTTGTGACTGTGAATATTTTGTGACCAAAGATGTTCTACGTTTCAATCGAAACTAATAAAAATATATTTGTTGAAAACGGATAACAGTCAGCAACGACTGTAGATTTCCATCTTCACTAAAGTCAAACAACCAGATGTCTACCTTCATAAAGTCACTGAAAATTACGAATACGTTTCGGCTGAGTTCAATTTAAATTAACAGGAAAAAGGGAAATAAAGGGATTAGTTTCTAAATAAACAGTAGTGCTGCGTCGATGAGGAACACGTCAAGATAATTTTGTTTTAACCATTGAGTTGATAGTATAAATTGGCCACCTTAAAGAAGTTTCTGAAGCTCTTTTTAAAAATCTTGGCGCTGGTTAATTTTCGTTATTAGCTCATTTGATAAATCAAATTATCAGGGAGAAAGTTGGGCGACTCAGTCTCGAAGCCTTAGAGTTTCTTTTTCTTTCATCCATTTGAAGATACGTCGAAAGGGCTATATTTGTCTTTAAAAAACTTGTTCATGACATTAAAATAAAAATATCAGCTCGCTATTAAATTCAAAGGTTTATGAAACAAAGATGGCGATTAGCAGGACATTCAGTATAAATTGAAATTGTGGCTTCATTCGTTAAAGAATTTGGACACCATTCACCATTTAAAATACCTCGTTAAACTGTTCAGTTTTATGAGTTGCTTACAGCAGATTTTTGCTCCCGAGATTGTGTTTTCCAATTTCTCCCTCGAATTTGGTGAATTTGGGAAAAAAAAAATTGGTATTCGTTGACAATCTTTTCAGAACGACCTTAACTTTGTCTTTTGATGGAACGACTTCAGCATTCGGGAAATCGGTTTGACTTAGACATTAAACAGTCTCTTTTCGAGCACCGAGCGGAATGGATACATTTTAAAGGTACTTTACAATCATGAGACATTCTTTTAATTACTCATTTTTGTCAGGTTACCTTGTTTATTTTGGCTTAACTTACGACTGATGTCTCGACCTACGCTTGCGTGAACACGTTTGGGTCATGACTTTGGACTCAAATTAATTAAGCGCACGAACGCACAGAACTTGCAAAGGTGCGGTGCTTCAAGACGTGTTATTCGTTTCAACTGACTCAAAAAAATCTAGCACTGACTGAAAATCTACTTATTAAAAGTGAAGAAAATGGAAATATTTGTAATTGTTAAGTCTCTAATTTAAAACAGTTTTTCCTGGCCATGAAGTACCCACGAGTGACATGGCTAACAACGTAGCTGTTTTCATAGCTTCCCTACTGATGCCTACAAATAGTATTACAACGGTGTACCGCTGCAATACAACGTCGTTTGGGGTCAGTCACTCGATTATCCTTCGGTTGATGATTTACGTCTGGGTTGGCCTGGCAACAAAACAGTTTATTGCAAATCTTATGAACGTTCAACAATTTCATCAATCATTCAGAAAAAGGAAGACAGTACGCGTACCCGATGTGAAGGTATTTCCTCTGCACCGATATCGCAGAGGTCATGGGTTCAAATCCCGTACAGGCCTGTATTTTTTTCAGGCCTTATTTTCACTACTGCCTAAGTAGTGCACATCACTGCGAAGATCACTTTCATTCATGAAAATAAAACTGTTGACGACTTAGTGGGTTTTGTTTGATGGACAATTACCATTAACATAAACTGTGATGGAATTTTTTCCTCTTTCGGGTGCACGTGCAAAACAATTTTAAAAGATAATGGTGTTTTTCATAAATCACTGAAGAATTTAATGGCCATATTTTCGTGCTTAAAAAGCGTTGACGTATGAAAACCGCACGATCATGAAAAGAAAAAGAAAACAGAGAGAAATTGTATCTTTTGATAAAACAAAAGTTACTATTGTAAAAGTAATCAAAAAATTTTTATGCCAGTTTTAAAAGATTTTAAGTTGTTAACATAACCTTCACCCCTTAGGTCGATTCACTGGTAAATATTTGTTTATCTGACCTAACAACGGTCGATATTACGCATGACTAATAGAGCACACAAAACCCACTCAATGACAAACATTACACATCAATATACCTGCACCATAACAAAAGACCAGTCTTAGTTCCTGTTTGGCGATATAAAAGAATCGTTAAACAAAGCAGCTGCTTCAGTGGTAGAAAGCTGTATTGGAAGTCAAATCTGTTCAATTCGTTTACACTCGCTCAAATTATGAAAGTTTCCATTTTTCTGGTAACGTTTTCGCTCGCCGTTTTCTGCATTAGCGCATATGCATTCAACACTGAAGAACATGTGAAACGTTTCTTTCGTCCCGAGCACCGACACCTTTTACCCGAGACAACGAGCCTACAACTCCTGGATGAACCTCGCCGAGCTCTGCTGCCACAGCATGACGAGTCTACCCAATGCTTAGCTGCCTGTGAGAAAAACTGTGAAAAAATCGAAGTAGAGGATTTTTTGACGGTAAGGATCTCTATCTCTATCTCTCTGAGTCTTCTGCCTTGGTTATTAATACGTATCATTTGCGATGCACTTCGCAAGTTCTATCGCCACACCTTCTTGTGAGGGTGGTAGTGCCATACCTAATCACCCATCTTTATTGCTATACTGGGCAAATCTTGAATCAATTTTTTCGTTTTCCTTCTGAACAGAAGGCCGAGAACTTCCGAAAATTTGAGTTCGACGACGTTGCGGCGGACTGTGTTTTGGCATCCACTGTTGTGTTCGCTAAGCCTCCGTACAAGTGTGACTGGCTTGAGCTGTACCAGTTTGACTGCTGTCGGGCCTGCAATGCACAATTCGAAGAGTGTAATAAAGATGTGCGCAGAATTCCCGGTGGACCAGAATTCTGCTATAGGAAGCAATATAAGTGCCAGTGCGACTGCCTCAATAAACACAGGCCCGTAGAAAATTCAGAACAGATCAAGCCCTAGTGAGCGACGATCAGGGGCTTTTATCTGGAATGAAATCTTTTTAGTTAGTGGAAGGGCTTGCCCTTGATACGCTATGGAATTTGATTTCCAGCAACTTGTGTCATTTTGTATAATTCTCATGTGTAGTGCGTTACTGTAGTCTCCAAAACTTTAGAAGGCTTGTGCAAACTGTTTAATTATGGAACGAAATAAATGTTTAAATGTATCATTCTGGTGTCATAACCCTCACTTGAATCAATTTATCTATAGATGCATTAGCTCAATAATTAAGAAAGTCATTTATCTCCTCGAACCTTGCCGTTAACTACCAGTTCCCTCCACCCAAACTCGAAAAAAAATCTCTATTTCTCTAAGAAAACAGTTTATAAGATCTTTTTTTCCTATCTTAATCGTCCTCTTTCTCTCTTTGTCTAACTTTTTCTGTTTTCCCTCGTTTTCCTAATTGTTACTGCATTAAAATCCTCCTTGAACCAGTTTCAAAAGGTTTAGCACTTCAGTGACTAGACCAACTTATGAAAAAAAGACCTTGTTACAAGTGGTAATTGCACTAAGTTTTAACTTTTGCAGTCAGGTGAAGGGCTATTAAAAATTCTTCACCATTCCGTTGACTAAAATAGAGCGCTAAAGTCCTTAGTAACAAAGGAAGCAATTAAATTAAATTTCAATTTGACAAGAGATTTATGCCTCTTAATGTAAGATCCACAACATATTGGCTTTTTCGGTGCATCATTACACTTATACGGCTAGATTTGCTTGTTTAAAGTCACCTGACCGATGCTTTTTCCGCAATGCACTGAAGCGAAAAGACGCCAATCTTTTTTTACAATCAAGAACGTATGTGTGAAACAATGAACCACAGAAAAAAAAAAAAACAATTTTGAATTAAAGGGCTTAGTACCAATGAAAAAACCAACTCTGTGAGAGCTCACGAAAGAAGGTACGTTTTTCCAACTAAGGGAAACTTAAATTTTAAGCATGAAAATTTAGATTGGACTTCTTCCGAAAGTTTCACACTAGACACTTCGCCTTTCCAGCGTGATCTTGTCAACAACATTTTGAAGTAAGAAAACGAAACGATATGATTGAATAGGTTTCCTTTGTTTTAATGGGAACATAATTAAAATGCCACTACATTTTGTCCTGGTACAAGAGATACAGATAATTCAGTAACGGCTACTTAACTTTCAAAGACTAATCACTCGTAATGTTACTTAAAGGTCCGGCCTAAAATTTCACGTAAAAGTATTCACTCGTGCACAAACAGGAAAAAATTTCTAAAGTTGAAAACAATACCATTACGTTTGCACTATCAAATTTTATCAATTAGAAATTGCACCAAAGTTTTCTAATAATGTTTAAGATATATTATCACGTGGAGTTTTCTTTCCATTTTTTTTGCGTTTTCTTCTTTTGCTAATGGCTCATTGAGGCATTTTCAAATCTACAACTGCATGTGAAGTCAACTGACGTACGTGCAGCTTCTGTTTGCCATCGATTGACGTTATGCATGAGTCAGTCCAACGGATGGAAAACAAACTACAAACACTCCACGCAGATCACGCATGTCTTTTTCCGCTTTCCTAATATAAAAGGTTTTTACACACCCATTTTCGCTCAGTGCACAATTTTCGGTTCTCTGCTCAGCATGAAGTCATACCTGTTCGTTAGTTTTCTCGCGGTGGCTATTTCGGCCTCTCAAGGATTTCGTTCTTTCCAACTTCAGGATCCAACAGAGGGCCCTCCATCAGGTCTACCTGATGCCCCGTCAGTAATAGCACCAACAGAAATTGCTACCCCAAACCCAAAACCTCACGACCGTAACTGCGATTGCAATGGAGTTTGTAACGACCTGAACGAAGAAAGACTTCCTCCGTATTTACAGGTACAGGAGAGCTAAGAACTTGCGAGCTAATATGTTACGTGAGGAGCAAATACTCCAAATCCCTTCAAAATTTCCTCGACTGATTCTTGTCCATCACTGGTAAATAGTTTAGGTCAGCCGAACTACAGAACAAAAAAAAAACTTTCAAGAAAGTCTCAATAAATATTTTTTTTCCTTCTGTCGGATAATTTTCCGCTTCATCAAAAAGATGATTTTGTGTAGTTAAAAACTTTCTCTGCATCAAGCTTAACCGCTAACAGCGAAATGTGATCCATCAGTCGTAAATTTTTCTCATGATTGTAAAGCAATAACAAACAAAAAGGTAATGAGAATTTCATAGGTACATCGTGTAGTTTTGACAAAAATTCTCAGCACATGTATTGACATCGTCTCAGAATTTGCCTTCAAATTTCTTTATTCTCAGTGATTTTTATTTGCTGTATTCTTTTCCTTCAACAGGACGAAACCAAATACCTCAGCTACGAGAATTTCCCTGTTTTGTGCCGTGACGCTTCAGCCATTTTGCTACCACCAGGCGAAGAAGAGCAAAAGAAGTACGTTTGCAAGCAGACGTTTGATTGCTGCCGTGACTGCAATAACGTATTCTATAGATGCCTAGCGAGGGGAACTGTTTATGGTAGATGTATGCGAGGCGCCTATACATGCATGTGCCAATGCATCGACGAGAGATCATTTGACGAGTTACCTTTCCAGAGGCCTGTAGCTCTCCCAGCCGAATCTGCAAGTGAAGCTCCCCCACAGGTCGGTCCTGGTGAGACGAAATAGAGCGAGACGAGAAGAGCTTTTCTTCTATTAGCTGCCAAAATGCTGTTGGCTGACTCTTTCGCCCAAAACGTTTTTGTGTTTCCCACAGTTGATAGTTGAGGTTATCAGTTATCAGCTTTACAGTCACGTGTACCATAAATAAACATACTTTGAACTTGATAATGTTTGTTTGTTAGACCTTGACACCTTTTTTTCTATCTCACGAACTAAAGGAGAGACCAAGAGAAAAGTTTCTTCAGAACGGCAAAATGTGAAGATTACAAAAAAAAATCGTAACAAGGGAGGCGTGGGTAAAAATCGAGCTCGCTCTTTTTTATATCTTTTATAGAAAATTTTATGGACAAGCTTACAACCAAAAAAGTAAATCTCTTTCAAACTAGTGATGAAAAGACACATATATGCTTTGCTCAGGAATATTCCTTGAAGAGAAAAATATTCATCTCTTAGAATGGATTATAGAGCTCCCTTCATCACATCTCTTCGGTATTTACTGATAACAAGTGTTTCATTCTTGGGCTACTTAGAAGAACTTAACGCTGGTCAAAGACCACGATCTCTTACAGATGCGATCATTTCACACCACTTTGTTCAGGAATAACACCCCTTAAAACAATGCCCTATTAACGGACATATTTGTGCAAATACAGAGAAAATGGCTCTAAAGAAAAACAATAATATTCCCATGCTCTCTTTCCTGTGATGTAAAAAATCGATGCTATTGTGTGTTTTCCAGATATACTAAGGGAAATTTGAGGCCAATTACAAACTGCAAAATCCCTGCGCAGATCAAAAAGGTCCCTATAGAAATGTGAATGATCAATCAGATAAAAACCAGTCTCAAAGGGACTAAAAAACCCGCAAAAACACAATAAAAACAATCGATAAAAGCAGTCAATCGAGAATGCCTTTGTTCTTTTCACAATGTGGCTAATGTGTTCAATACTTAAACATTTCATTTCATTTGACCGAATGTCAAATACCAGGGTGAACCACATCCGGAGTTTTCACGATAAACCATCAAATTTACATTGAAAGAACTTAAGGGAAGTTAGTAATGAGAATTTATGCCATAATAGAATCAAGTAACTGAGGGGGTTGGATAAACGTAACAGAACCACCGAGCCATGACTGATTTGTTATCAGAAAGCTATAACAACCTTATTGGCCCGAGCGAGAGTCGCACGAATTCACAATTTTCTCAGATAAAAACTGTGCACTATTTTTGCAATTTTATTAAGTCAGAGAATATGCTATTTAGGAGCTTAAGCTAATTGTTACTCATCTATAACGAATTTTGCTCTGAGGGAGGGCTAACGCTCGAAACGGCAGCTGTAAAAACTCTTTACGATGGCCAATTTACGTATTGACTCAGTTGATAAAACAATATCATACTGTAATCTCTCCACGACGCAACACCACGGTTCTTATTTTTTTTTGTTTTTCTTTGGCTTTCTTTACTCGCTCGCTGATTTTGAAGTTTTATCAAATAAACAAACCGCACGCATTCATTACAAAATGTACTTTGAATCTTAAGATGTGTTATCTGAAAATGACCCTGTAAATCTTTCTCAAGTGTGGTTATAACACTTAAATAAAATAATTCAGCGACTGTATGGGAAAGATTCCACTGTGACAAAATATTACGAGTCTAAATATATTTTCTTTGAGCGCTCTAGGTGTAAAAAAAAACAGAATGTTTAAGCTTGCACATTACAATTACCTTGAAATTATCGTTTGTTGCAGTTACAAGACACAGTCAAATGATTCATTTTATTATAAATCTGCTTTTAATATTTCTTATTATTGTCCATTGGCATTAAAAAAATTATAATTAAATTTACATTGAAATTAGGATAAAATTGGACGTGTACACCAACAGATGTTTCAGAGCTTACATATGAACTCCTTCGGCGACTGTGATTGCACAAGTTCCAATTTCAAGTTCTCAGATCTTACTAGAGATTCAACCGTTTGATGTAAGCCCTCAGAAAGGTGTTTTTAAGGTCACCATCCTTTAATATTGATGTTTAATAGGCTATCTGTAACGCAAACGCCGGCACATTTGTAAGCTGCTTCTAAACATGACTCTCTGGTATTAGTAAGCACACATTTGAAGTAGGTTGCGTTGCAAATGCGACAGCAATCAAAGAAACAGCGTGCTAGGTAAGCCTTGTTTTCAATATCGATTCTCGCAGATTCTTTGCAGGACACTGGGTGGTTTTCAATCCAATAAACTAACTGAAAGAGAAAGATGACAATGCCAATTGATTAGCAACAAAAAACACATACTTATCAAGAATTACTTGGGTTTTGACCCAGGTCCAGTAGACATTTTTCGAGTTCTTCGCAGTCAAACTATAGAGCCAAAAGAATGTTTTGTAATTCTTGCCATAGAAACATTATAAACAGTAAGAGTTCTATCTGACTTTCTCAATTTGGGCGTGACTAGCGCCATCTGCGGACGCACCGCTATGAAATGCTAGGCCTAAATATCAAGAGCAGACAATAAAACGATTCCTAATAAATAAATCTGCAAGCCTCCATGTATCCGCACCTATATTTGTCTCCCTCTATTCCCTGGAAGGATTAAACAAAACGACTAACTTCCGAGAGTGAAGCAAATAAACGTAAACAATACAAAGTTGAAAGCGATTTCGAGATCAAAATTCACTCAGTTAGCTGACTTTTTAATTCAATAACTTTAAGGTGTTGTTATTGAAGCATCAGGGTATGTTCAGATTCGGCGTTCGCGAGTCTACAAGTCCTGAGTAGAAATAATTCGAATTTTAAAAACGTGGAGTATTGAGGCACATTAAGGTGATGTGAACTGGACGAAGGCCCGTGACTTCCAAACTTTTAACTTGCTCTTGTCTCTTGCTAAACCTCCAATGAGCGACAGATGCAGCAGGTAAAGAGGCGAAATTTTACGTCATTTTGAATCAAGGTTCTCTGATTAAAAGGGAATATTTAAGAACCACTAACAACATTTCCTCATTTCACGAAGAACCCCTATTGAGTTGGGCAAGGCAATTTGATTGAAAAGAAACGAAAAAACGCTCATTAGTTTTCCTCAATGGCGAAACATGTACGACTAATTACATCTCTTACTTCAAGTTCGGAGCTGTTAGGATCTGGGCAGTAATTCCTACAGTTGCAAGAGACACCCTTAGAGGAATCTGACGTATGTCGGCGTTTTCCTTCGACTGGCTTCGCAATTTCTCGGTTTACGGATTCCCTCTGGTTCCCGCCGACAAAAGGACTCGTTTGTACAAGAACTGATAACAACACTGATGTGAGAGCGTAGAGCACAGTTGAAGAATCCTTCATCGTTCAGCTATCTGAACTACATGATTCCAGATCTAAATAAAAAAAATATTTCTCACAGCTACAGCAGGATTTTAAATCACGAGTTAAATTGATGGAAATAAAGATGGGAAACGTTGATAACAACGCATATCAACTGGAAAAAAAAACATCCAAATGTTATGGATCAATAAATTTTCCGTTTTCGCGATAAACTCAGTAGACCGCAACCAATGATCAACACAACTTCAACTTAACTAATTTGCTTTTGTTTAACACTAACTTTCCACCACTGATTTTTTCCACTGGTGCATTAATCGCACAAATGCATGTGCGTTTGTACTCTCTACCGCCACCTGTCAATGTTCCAAAAGTCTTGTACTCCGGGTGTGAAATTCAATCAAGCTGTTCAATGATGAAAGGTACCGAAATATATCCAAATTTTGTAAGATATTGGAATCTTTCGTTGCACTTCCATGGTTGGTTTCATTAAAAACAAAGCCCTTGTGTGCAGTGAAGACAGTTCTGTGTCCACCAATCACTGTGAAATTTTAATGCCGTCGAATGGCTCATTAAACGTTAAATTTCTTGTCTAAATTTTTTGCCACGAATTTTTTTTTTTTCTGGACGATCGCACACGCGAAAAACTGCAGCGAAAATTTGACATACTCGTATCAGATCCCTTATCTAGACTCCCAACGATTACAAATGTCCCTGCTTAATTTTCAATGACGGAATCGATTTGACCGGGTACTTTACGCATAGATCATGTACTACAAAAAAATCATGCGTCTCGTATTTCGCGCACGAGTTACACGTTTCTTGTTGCCAAGCGCCTGCTGCCCAGGTTTAGCTCGTGCTTTTTTGAAAAATTTCCCAATTAAAGGAGACAACTTTGTCTATCGAACCTTTTTTCCCTCTATTTCGCTGTTTACTTCTTGGTTTGGCTGGATTCTTTGTGAAAATTTCATTCCAGTTTGTTTTGCGCTAGTTTGAATCTGTTTTGCCTAAGCTTTCACTTTGTCTTCTAGTAATGAGAACTCTGTGTTTAGATATGAGTCTATTTTTTCTCAGCGGGAGTCCAGCTTTGGACTGAACGGGTCAGAAACGAAAACTATGGTATGCTCTTACAAAAAAAGTGAAGAAAGAAAAGAAAAAAGAACACTCACAACATGCTTTAGGTTTTAATTTATTCAAAGAAAATTAGTAAAAGCAAAACTTTATCGCAACCAAACGATATTGTACTCACATAACCAATTCAGAATGAATGTATGGGTTGAAACTAGGGATCATTAAAGTATGAAGGAAAACAAGGAATTTAAGAATTGCATTTCCTTCTTTTTTTCCTCTTCACTTTTATTATCATCGTTTGCATGTATGTTCGATTAATACTGAAGAGGATAGGTATTTGAAGTAAATAAGATATTTCTCTTATTGCTTTTTATAAACGGTTGTTTTACAGAATTTGAGGAAAAGTACTGAATATGTTACAGATAAGTGTCAGCTCTTTCAGATATAAATCTACAAACATCTAACTCATACAGTAAACTCATGAAATTAATTCAGGACATAGCGTTTCTTAGTGAGCATATTCTCAGTCTGCGTGGCTTCAAAATTAATTTTTCAGAGCCATTCTCGGAGAATCAGTCCATAAATTCACCTCATCAAAGTCGTTTGGGAACACTTCTAAGAAATGTATTAACTAAAATGTTGATACCATAAGTTGTTCGCCATAATTTCTGAAAGTTGTGAATGAAGGATGATACACAAAATTTAAAACCCACATGCAACAAAGCGGTTTTTAACGTCTTTATAGCGAGAAAAAATGAAAGGGAACGAGAAAGTAATCAGGGAAAAAAAAATGATATTCAAGCTCTAGCTAATTGTCGCAACACTCTGTACCTAAGTTTGTTTCTGAGAATATGTTACTTGACATCAAATTTACATTTTTTTAAGAGCAAAGAGAGAAAATAGAACTTTTTTTCATTGAAAAATTATGGTTATCTTCATCTGAATCACCTGTATGATCCTAAACCAAACAAAAATACCTGCGTGAGGGTAATTTTTGCCTGAACAACGGATATCATATGAATAAAATTTGTTGTATAAAGCTTATCCTATTTCAATACAAAATAATTCTGCATAAAGTATGTTTAGCATTTATATATATTTTACATATCTCCAGCCCAGTGTTCCATAACATGCACCAACGTCCCTTAGTTAGGCGGCAGGAAGTGAAGCACTGATAAGGTTTGAAGAAACACCGAAGGGGCCATTGACGGAGAAGTAGAACGAATGAGTCACGAATGAAACGTTGCAATCTGAACGGAAGAGTAATTCACAATTTACTGCTCAGTAACCTTGAAGCAGATTGGAAAAACCATATATTTGGCAAAGAAAAAATTTAAAAAATCACCCGTTTATGACTAAAACATTTATAGTAAAATACCCATGTAAAATGTTTCTAACACAATTGGGTTTCAAGCCCTAATTCTATCAAGGGCTTTACCAATTATTCACTGGTTAAATCGTAAGCTAAACTTAACATAAAGACGCTTCAGACAGAAGCAAATTACTCATAAAACCCACAGGCACTCCAAAAAAATGGCTCTGTCTTTAGACTTCTCTTCACTTTCCCTCTTGTGGATTAACTGGTTCCTAGTGCTCTCAGTCTTCACCTAAAATGTCTCCATCCCGAGATTCAGGCTCGTCTGCCTTGCTTGTAACGTAGTCCTCGCGTAATTTGTCTAACTCGGCAAGCTCACGCTGTAAGATTAAAAAAAAAGGAAATTTTCATTCTTGCGATGACTGCCAGGCAATGAATCAACCAGTTTCCTCCACATACACTTACTTACTGTGAAGTTGTCACCGAAAACGTATGAGATACAGAATAACAACATGAATTTCGGGACTGCCCTGTTCAAAGATTTCCAAACTCTTTCGAAGATTTCCGACAAGGTAAGGAAAGTGTTCTTTTGTAACACAAGAAATGCGAGCTGACGTTAAGTTGTGGGAAGAGTTATGACCATACCTTAACGACTTCCAAGTGATAGGCTCGCTTTGTTCTAATCTTCTGCATCGGGAAAGGATTCAGAAATTGGAAGGCAATCTAAAAGAAAAAAAGAAAGAAAAGACATTTATATTTCTCTGTTCCTTCTGCACAGCCACTCCTGATGGTTTCCCATTTGCAATGGACGAGTCTATAATCCAGGTAATCCTTTGAAACGCGGCAAGGTTCCTACTGTCTTAAAACTTTGTGCCCAGATCTTCCGACCTCAATGCGGATAATATCAAATGTAAATGCCTTAACAAAAAGCTTTTTTTTTTAATTCATGTCCTATAAATCGGCTAACCTAACTGATTTATTTGTTGATAACCTTGCGATAGACTAGCACCCAATCCTAGTCACTTCATGTGAACCCATAGAACCCAGGATAAGCTCTGGCCACTTGTCTTGAGCACAAACTTTACCTCTACAAGTATGATCGCTAGTTCGACTTCACGTATATCTGGAGGATCATCTTTCACGACTGCTTGCTTTAAAACATGCTATACAGCGTAGGAACTATCACAAACTTTGCCTCTGCAAGTATGATGACTTGTTTGACTTCACGCATCTCTAGAGGATTATTTTCTTCGACTGCTTGCTTTAAAACATGCTACATAGCGCAAGAGCTATCGCTAACCTGAGATAAGATGTTAGCATCGGTGATTTTTTCAGGCACTTGTCTCAGGAAGTTGAATATGCTCATGTGATCCTCACACTTTAAAAGTAGCTCTTCGCTGCTCTTGAAAACCGCGAGAGCAAAGCGAAACATCACCTGACAGAAAAGGACAACACAATCAGCAAATACCGAAATCTCTCACAGTGACAATGCTTCGTGAATTTCAATAACAGAGGGGATCGCTCATCATTTATGGCTGGGGGAGGGGGAAAAGGGGGATGGTTTGAAGGATTTTAGTGATGTCACCATCAAAATTACCTGATTTCTTCTCCCCCTCGGCTCTGAAGTATTCTTAGATCCCCCCTCACTGGCAGTCAATTTCCTATAGTCCTCTCTTTATACTCTGTTCGCGACGACTGACCCACCCACCCCCCCCACTTTCCCCATTGAAAATCATGTGTTCCGCCCAAAATCCACCCCCCCCTCGCCTCGACGTTAACCTTTAATTCCCATGAATGACCAAGACAGAATTTCTCCTCACAATATCCTTACAATACACAAGTGATGAGAATTAAAAGAAATATCATTTAGGGGATTATTAGTTAATCCAACACCAAATTCTCCGAATTAACACCATAATAATTGTACGGCAGACAGTAAAGAGAATAACTGATGAGATCTTAGGAGCGAAAGGGTCAAACAATGGCTGGTCCCTCATTCTTGCCAATTCTTCAGTGGAAAAAAAAGTCTCTTCGGATTCTTTTGCTGAGGTTGCTTCCCGAAAATTGTACAGTTATGAAAAAATTCAACATACTCATAGCTTTTACAGAGAGAATTACTTGCAATGTTATATTGAGTGAAATTTTGAAGGGCAGTCTTAGAGTTGGTTTTACTGCCAAATGTCTTAGAAGACCGAGTTTACCTCTTCACCTACGTTACTTAAAACAAGCAAAACTATCCTTAAATTTTAAGATAGCTATGATTATATTAGGGCCTACCTTATTCCCCTCATAAAGAAAAGTGTCCCAGACTCGCAGGGTTGTCTGAAATAGGAAAAATGGCTATGTATTACTACAAAAGGGATCGGATCACAATTAGACATCAACAAAATCAGTCTGATATTCTGTTATATGCACAGCTGGTGACCTATGGTTTTGTTACCTGTATGGGAAAACTGTCCACGAACACAGTTAAAAACCAGTTGAAAGAAACCAGCGAAAGATCCACCCTGTAAATCAAACAAAACAAACCAATCACATCTGTCGCTATGGTTCTATGACAACATAAACAGCTGATCCATTATCAACCAATCAATTTTCCTGACAATACAAGTACAATAACATGCAAAGAGTGATCAGATAATAAAGTAATGGTTTTGACCCAGTGGTAACAGATGATCGTATGGAGAGTATTTCTGAGCTGGGATGTTGTCGCTTACATT